TAAAGGGCGTACCTGTAATATAAAGTATAAGGTAATTCATCCAGGAGTAGCGCTTCTGCTGCTGCGAAACGTATTTAGCGTTGAGTTTTGAGCAGGGCGTTACATGTCTTTTTGGAATTAGCCAAATGTGTTTTCGCATATTAGACATAATACAGCGCTGAGCCGAATTAATTCTCGCTCCCTTGCGGTGGCGTAGCATAGTAAAAGCATTAGCATGATCATACCTTGTCTTCAAGCTCCATCTTAGCCCATCGCGTGTCGCTGTACGTCTTAGACGCGGTTCAAACGTTTTCCACAAGAGGATTATCGGATGCAGATCAGGTCGGAACTTAAAACTGATCAAAGTCTTAACTAATCAATAAACTTTCCAACAAAAAACAAGCATTACCCCACTAAACTGGTTACCGACCAACTTTCCGAGCAGCTAATAAGAAAAGCTTTAGCTCAAACTTACTTTACATCTAATCCTTTATAACAAAAGTTAACGCTCCACACTTTATAATCAGCTGCATACCATTAGACAACATACAGCTTCCTCGCCCCTACAACAACATTTTTCCCACAATACCCAAGCGATTTCCAGGATTAACATACTTAATCAATCTAAATTTCGCATTTTAATTATCTCACCAAAAAGTTACTTGGATGACCTGATCGGGTATTACCGTCGGTAATTGCCATGATACGGTAGGTTAATTTCGCTAATAAAGTCCTATGAAGCAAAGCGCAAATATTTACTTTGCTAGAGTTTAGTTGACATTATAACTCGCATAGCCAAATATGCCGGCGAAATTTCCACTCGAGAAAAATAAAAACGGCTCCTTGTTGAGTTCGCATCAAAGCCACATCCGATCCCGTATCCAATCATGTGGCAGCCACTTTGGTAATTGAGCTGCAGCGCATCCTTTGCCTCTTACACTCCTTTCGATTTTGATCGGCCCGCCGGCTTAAATCATCAATTACAAGGACCTTACTCTTCCTAACGCAAATATTGATGATATCCCCTTCATGCACTCAATTATCTTCATTACGCTTTCTTAATTTCATTCGATTTACAAAACCTAATCCAATTTTAACTATACTTTTAATTATAGCTTCCTCTTAATACACACTTTTTAATAAACAAAAGTTTTTATAAGATAATTGTTTTGCAATGATAATTTCCACTGTCTGCTTTCTCTTGGTTAAACTTGTAGGTAGTGATGCAAGTACGCATAACAAAAGCAGAAGCGGAAACAGATGTCAATAGTACATTTTTACGGTAGCGGATGCGGAAGTATATATAAAACAAAGTTTAGTCAATTTAATTTTTATTATTTGGAACATTTTAATACAAAAAATGCCGAACCAGATGCTGAAGCAAATATAAAAGTGTGCAGAACTCCCGCACTTGCGGAAGCGGAAGCAGATGTCTGTTGCAACACTCATCATCATTTCTTCCACATTTTATTAATTGATTATTAATGATGAAGTTTATGGACATCTCAATATCATTTGATAAATATACCAACACTGTCTGTTTTCTTTTGGTTAAACTTGTAGGTAGTGATGTAACGTAAGTGTGCATAACATAAGCAGAAGCGGAAACAGATGTCAATAGTACATTTTTACGGTAGCGGATGCGGAAGTATATATAAAACAGATGTCAATAGTACATTTTTACGGTAGCGTATGCGGAAGTATATATAAAACAATGTTTAGTCAATTTAATTTTTATTATTTGGAAAATTTTGATATAAAAAATACCGATCTAGATGCTGAGGTGAATGTAAAAGTGTGCAGAACTCCCGCAGTTGCGGAAGCGGAAGCAGATGTCTGTTGCAACACTCATCATCATTTCTTCCACATTTTTATTAATTCATTATTGATGATGAAGGTTATGGACATCTTTATATCATTTGATTTATATACCAACACTGTTTCTTTTGGTTAAACTTGTAGGTAGTGATGTAACGGAAGTGTGCATAACAGAAGCAGAAGCGGAAACATATGTCAATAGTACATTTTTACAATAGCGGATGCGGAAGTATAAATAAAACAATGTTTAGTCAATTTAATATTTAGAAAGTTTTGATATAAAAAATGCCGAACCATATGCTGAAGCGTGCAGAACTTCCGCAATTGCGGAAACAGTTGATGTTTGAATTGATTATTGTTTATGGACATCTTAATATCATTTGATTAATATATCAACTCGAGTTTGATATAAATTTTAATATTTTTCTTGTTAATACCGAGTTATCCTTTTTGACTAAAATAAGATGCGAGGGCACAGTCGGTAATCTTCCACTAAATAAGATTAAGTTGAAGGGACGGAAAAACGCCGAACTTTGACCCTTAACTAGAAGATAACATTTTGCAAAATTTGCATAAGGATTTTTTCATCATCACAATCTTAATTAAAAACTGAAACGTTACATTATTTTTCTAATAATCTTGCAAATAAAGGATTAGAAATGCTCAAGGGTTCCCGGGCTCCGCATCAAGACAACGGAAAAATGCAAATTAAACATTTTAATTGCATTTTTAATTGATGTATGCGTTCTCACAATGTTATTTCATAATAAATTATTATTTAACCTTAAAGCAGATGGAGTGGATGGTGTTTAATATAAGTAATGTAGATTTAATTAATTTATTAGTAATTAAGAGGTGAGTTTGTAAGTGGCCGGTATAAAGCTGATGATCCTGATATTCGGAAGTTATTGGCAATAAAGTCCATTTAATTTTGTCGTATTGAAGAAAAAGTGTAAGACGAGGAAGGAGAGAGAGACTTACCGCCAGCCACCTTATAACGAACATGTAATTTTTCATTACGTGCTAAGATCAAAGAGGAGACGTGATTAGATTTGATCAGATGTTAGTCGTCCAACGGGCAGACTAAAAATGAGCCCCCCGGTTAAATGGGTAGGATGGCTTCCAGCCATTATTTAACTCCCTCTTCGGGCCATTATAATTTTTAAGCTCCAATCTTCGCCATTATAAATTTAGCTTTGGTCGCGAATCGCAATTTTTACCACGCCGGCACGTCTAAGCGTTTGGTCGGTCGTCTTGCAAATGCCTAAATCAACACGAAAAATAAGTTATTCAAATTAAAAAACTAATTTCAGCGTGCAGCGAAGTTATTACATTTTAATCCTCGACTCCTGATACAGCGTCTAAATGCGAGACTGTTAAAAATGTTAAGCAACCGGAACAAATCGACCAACTTTTCCTAAACCCCATCAGACCCTCTTCTCTCGCCACCTCCCCCATCATTCTTTTCCTTATTCTTACTCCACTTTATTATTTCTCAAACATTTCGTCTTCGGCATTACGAAAAACAATTAGAAATACCCGCAGATACGGTTCTGCAAAAAAGACAATAATTTAAAGAATACATTAAGCAGCAGCAAGCGGCAGAAGGAAAAAGGGGCAAAGAAAGAGTTGTTGCGAATCCGAGATGGAAGAATTACACAACCATTATACGAGGATTAAGGCGTAATCACGACCGACGTCCTGACGATGCTTGGCGTCGCTAGGCGCCCACCAGCCTCCTTAGCTTCAACTTCTTTCCTTCAACCATTGTCATTTCACAAAAAAAAAACAAGTATTCCAAACAATTTCAATCTACTTTGTTACAGAAATTCAAATAAAATAACAGCATTTAATTTAATTAAATATTCTCAATATTGTTTAATTAATTCATTTCTCATAAAGTCTTGGATTTTATTTAATTAAAGCTCAACTAATATACAGAAACTGTATTTATAAATACGTACCTCTGCTGTCTTATATTATCGATTGTATGAAAAATAAATTCTTAAAAAAGAAGATTTTAAAAATAACTTTTAAAGTTTTGTTATTCAGTTTGTGAAGCTGATTATAAACAGTGATGCAACGGTCATAACAAAAGCAGAAGCGGAAACAGACGTCAGGAATAACTTTTTGCGGATGCGGAAGTGCAAATACCATAATAATAACAAAAGTTTTAACCATGTAAAACTAACTTGGGGAGGAAACAGATGGTAGAATAGCTACTCATCGCCATTACATCATCCCTACTAATTCTTCTTCATTAACTGCCCTTCTCCATTTGTTATTAGGTCTCCCATATCCCCCAATTAATTTTCCCACTTTTTCTTCAGCATTTCAAATTCAGTGTGCCATCTCAATGTCACGTGACTAAATGTAGAGCTGTGATTGGTTGTTTGGATATTTTTGCCTCTGATTAGGCCAGCAGTTAACTTCTCTTCTCTTGTTTTTGCGACTAAATTTAAATGGGAAATATTGCGGAAACAAACGTCAAGAGTAACTTTTTGCGGATGCTGAAGTGGAAGCGGATGCGGAAGTAAAAATACCATAATAATAAAAAAATGTGTATTTTTTGTATTAAATTATTATTTAAATATTAATAAAGGCAAGTTACATTTAAGAAACAGTAAGTGACGTCTGTTGCAACTCTAACTATAAAAATACAAAACAAAAGTTTTAACCATGCAAAACTCTTCATCTTCTTCTTACTTAGGGAGGAAACAGATGGTATAATAGCTACTCATCGCCATTACATCCTCTCTACAAATTCTTCTTCATTAACCGCTCTTCTCCATTTGTTATTAGGTCTCCCATATCCCCTAATTGTTTTTCCCACTTTTTCTTCAGCATTTCAAATTCAGTGTGCCATCTCAATGTCTCGTGACTGAATGTAGAGCTGTGATTGGTTGGTTGGATATTTTTGCCTCTGATTAGGCCAGCAGTTAACTTCTTAAATTTAAATGGGAAATATTGGTCTTTGGCCCCTTTGAGGGCCAATAATAATAGGTTGAAAATCTATAAAAACCCAAAAATCTGTAGATTCTAAGTAGACCATGCAAAGCCAAAATATTGTCTATCTACTTTAACAACCTTGAACCAATATAAATAAACTTCATAAAAAAGGTTTAATAAAAATGTTAGTCAGTGTAGAATTGTTTTGGAATGGTGCAATGTGCCATAAGACTATTAAAACTGAAAACGCAATGCCAACCAGGCTTTCATTATTTGTAATCTAACGGGACTTATGGAAAAAGTTTCCATTTATTTTTAATTCCTTATATTCTACCCTTTTATTGAAAGGCCAAGAATACATCTTACCTTAGGCCGGGCATAAACTTCGGCACAACGAGTTTACGTCTTTTTAAGTGCGTCAAACCATACCAATTCTCTTTTATATTCAATTTATACATCCCAATTCAATTTATTTCATCTTTTCTTTATATTATTCTTCTGCACGAAAAAATCATGAAATTTAAAACGTGTTTAAATACACTACCTAGGTGTGTTATAATCCACATAATCTTTTAGCAAACATCAAATAATCTGAATAAACTTTAAAACACGTCGCTCAAAATGTAATACGTATAGTCTTAGCGCATAATTGTTGTTTAGGTGGCCCATAAACAATTTGCTGTATAATTGAAGAAACATAAATTGTGTGTAGTAGGAAGCAATTGGATAATAAGAAGCCCCTTTAGTAGAACGCTCCACGACTTTAACAATTTAACAAATGCGACAAGAACATTCCTTTCATAGAAGTGAACTTGTGATTTTAATATACATAATATGATTTGACATCAATAGTAAGGTTAGTTTTAATTCGCATTTACCCCAATGTCTAGTGATTTTACAGGTTAAGAAAAAGTGTTAAAAATGCCTTAATATTCGATTCAATTTAATTATGGAGGAAAACCATACAAAAATTATCAAATCGGAAAACGATGTTATGCTACCAGGAATAAATAAACAAAAAATAACCAGGGACCAGTTAGTCGTCACTAAAGAAACCACTTGTGGTATATGGTTCATCAAAGGGCCCAACATACAAAAATTTGCCAATAAAAAAGCATATGTTTTTCTCTACGGTTTTATAGGTTGCATTTTTTCCGCTGCGTACGCCTATTTCAATGGAACAATTACAACGCTCGAGAAACGATTTAAGATACCCAGCAGAACCACAGGTACGCTGACATACGTAAATATTGACCTATTTTCGTTCGCATCATAAAATGAATTGTTTATTAATGATAAGATAACACTGGGACAAAAAAATAAATTTGATTCTCTTGATTTACACTATCATAGAACAGGAATCATTATTTCCATTTCTGGATTGATTTTTTTAATAAAGATGCACTATTTGCCAGATGTTACCAGTGTTTTCCCCAAGAATCATTCTTCCCATTTCTGGATTGATTTTTTTTTATCAAAGATGCACTATTTGCCAGATGGTAGTGTTTCCCCAAACAGTGATGAAATGCAATTTGATAACGCTGATGATTGAATCCAGAAATAGGAGAAGGTTTCTTTTTATGATTTTTTGATTTGCCAGTTCATGATGATGGTCAGTTATCAATGATTTTGCAATTTTTAGGCATAATAACCGTTGGAAATGACTTGAGTCAGCTGCTTCTCTCGGTAATCCTGAGCTACTACACAGGAAGGGGTCACAGGCCAAGATGGATGGCGCTCGGAATGTACACGGTCGTATTGTTTTGTCTATTGACAGCCTTGCCGCATTTTTTGTACGGCCCTGGAAGCGATGCCTTGTCGCTGACGGTGGAGTATAAAACGAGCGAGAACGCGTCTCTGGATGCCTTGCAACGTCAAATGAAAAAGTCCCTGTGCCACGCTAAAAACTCGACGGACTCGGAATGTACAGCCGAGAGCGGTACTTATTCTCCACAATTAATTTTATTTGCCGCACAGTTTATATCTGGGATTGGTGGTCCACTTTACTACACCCTCGGCGTATCTTATATGGATGATAATATTAAGAGGTCGAAAACTCCAGCATTGTTCAGTAAGTCCCCGTTTAATTTTATTGAACGAAAACAAACTTGCACAATCGTTTTAGGTTTTTCGTATTTCATCCGGATGCTGGGTCCCGCTATCGGCTATGGCTTGGCCTCCATATGCCTCAAATTATACATATCACCTACACTAACACCCACCATTGATAATAAGGACCCTAGGTGGCTTGGAGCCTGGTGGTTGGGATGGATTATCCTTGGAGGATTGCTGTTTATTTTCTCCACGTTGCTCGCCTTTTTCCCCAAAACTTTACCCAGGGCAGCCGTTAGAAAGGAGTTACTAAAAAAACAGATATCCAAACTGTCGCAAAAAAATGAGCCTGAACCCGAAATTAGGGCTTCGTTTAAAGGTCATTATAATTATATTTTACCTTATCCACAATTCTCGTCCTTTCAACGGTAGATGGGGCTGATTAACTTTCCCTCACCGCTGTCGCTGTACCTGTTGCTTATATAGCGGTGGCACTGATGAGGTCTAATAGGACCAAAACAGGCTGTTTGTGTGGCAGTCTTAAAACAAAAACACTCTTTAGAAAGCACAAATTTGTCTTCAACGAACGTTTAAGTGCTATTAAACATTGCTAAATGAAATAATATGACCGGTATCTTTATTATTTTGTTAAGTGACATTAGGAGACCGTTGGAAGATTTAACTGAGTTTAATTTTGCAGATATGGTGAAAACATTTCGCCGGCTGATATCCAATCCGATTTTGATGCTCAACAACTTTGCCGCGGTGTTTTACTTTCTCGGATACATGCCATACTGGATATTTCTGCCAAAATACATCGAAACTCAGTATCGACAGTCTGCTTCGGCGTCCAGCCTTATTACTGGTAGTGCTGGATTGGTATTTTCAGCTGTAGGTATCCTGTTGTCAGGCTTAATAATATCCCGATACAAACCTAGAGCTAGATACTTAGCGGCTTGGAACGTTTTAGTGGGAGCCATTTCTGTAATGGGCATAATTTCTTATGCCTATCTAGGATGTGCCGAGAATGATAATAGAGAGCCACTTTTGCCCAATGGAGAGTAAGTCTGAATGCACTTCTGTTATCGTTAATAGAACGTTTTATTTTCAAGATTGAATCCAGTAATGGAATGTAATTCGAGATGCAATTGCGATTACGTGAAATACAATCCAGTTTGTTCGCAAGATGGCCGAACGAGCTTTATATCGGCCTGTCATGCCGGCTGCAAACGTGTCACTAAATCGAATGGCACTGATATATTTTCGGATTGTTCCTGTATTCAGCAGCAAATAATAACAAAAATGAAGAAGACTTTTACAAAAGAACATCTTTATCTCGAGAATGAAGGCTACGCTCACTCGGGAAGTTGTCAAGTAGATTGTCTCTATCAGTTTTATATATTTTTAGTTGTTGTCTGTCTGCTGAAATTCAGCGGAGCCACAGGAAGAGCGTCAAACTTTCTAGTTACAGTAAGGTAACTCACTACAATTTTATCAATTTTTACGTACAATACTGAAAGATAACTTTATAGGTGTGTCGAGGAAAAGGACAAACCAGTCGCCATGGGCTTTGGCCTTATGCTAATGAGTCTTTGTGCTTTCGTTCCTTCGCCAATATTATTCGGAACAATTTTAGGTAATTATCGTTTTTCATTATTAAATATAAGTTTGTTTTTTGGTTAATCACATACTATTGTGATGATAATACTTGTTACATTTTTAGATAAATCTTGTTTGGTCTGGGGCAAAACTTGTTCAGGGAACGGTAATTGCTGGTTGTACAACGGTAAGACCCTGAGGTACACCATGAACTTCACGGCGGCCATTTTCGTTCTGATCGGAACAATATTCGATGCTGGAGTGTGGTACTTCGTTAAAGGTTTAAAAATCTTTGACGAAAGTGTGGAATTGGAATTGGAAGATTTCACAAATTAAATTATTAGTCTTAATGGTTTATTATTTATGTAATAAGGAAGAATAAAACGAATAATATTTATTTTGTACAAAAATTTATTGGAGATGAGAGAGCGTTATAAATCGGTTTCACATATTACTGAATCGTGATCATCGCCGACATTGTTAGCTAATTCTCCTAAGGAATCATTGGTTCTATTTGAATACTGCTGACTACTTCTTTGAATAAATTGGTCAACTTCGGCTGCTGAGTCTTCATTTACTTCACCTTTAACATTTGTTTTTTTATACAATTCTAAATCCTTAATCAGTAATACAAGTATAGCTGTGAGAATAATAGAAATAATTACTCCAACCACTGTGGAAGAAGCCAAAAAGTTTGCTAAATAAGTAGAATAATAGCGGCATTCACCCGTTTCTTCATTACGAAATTTACAAAACAAATCAAGGATATTTATGTAAATAATCCTTACAGGTAAATACGGTATAATTCCTAGTAAAGCGGACTGAAAACCTATAGCTGTGGCTTTATCCTTTGCAGGTACACATCTTAAAATAATTATTAAGTTTGTCACCATAATAGTAGCTAGTAATCCCGTCGTTATAATACCATTAACTTGCGATACAGCAAACAAAACATTACAATTGTCCCTAATGCAAGGACCTTCGGTAGCCTTTACACCGTTGCCACATCTACAATCAGTATATTCCACTGCATTACCGCTTGTGTTGGATTTTGTCGTGCATCCTGCCAAGCATGGAGAAAAAAATGTCTTATCTCCCAGACATACAGGATTAAACAACTCCGCGTTAGAGCAATGGCATCTTGCACTGCAGTATGGAATGCTGATGACGCCATCTAGCTCGCTGTATAAACTCCTATTGCAAGATATGAATTTCGTGCTTGCAAATGATAAAATAAAAACAACCATAATCACAATATTCCATATGGTTAGAGTTTTGGCTCTGGGTTTGGATTTGGTAATAATTAATCCAGAAGTTATTAAACAGCAGCAAATGAAAGGTTCTTTGAGTAAGTTTGTCGTGTACTGCATTATTAAGGGATCACTATAACCGGATGTGTCCTGTTTGTTTGGTAGCAGGAATTTTGATTGGTTGTAAAAGTCCTCGAAAGTCTCAAAGTTTATTAAAACTGACTGCAGAACTATATTCGCCAGAATATTTACAATGTAAGTTCCATTTTTTAACAATCTAAACAATGTTGTGAATAGGCCTAGAAGTAACGGGGAAAATTATCATTTTTTGTATTTCGTATTTTTAATCACGTCGTTTCGACTGGTTAGTATCCCCCAGCCGTATTTAGGTAAATACTGAATAAGTTAAGTAGCTCGACACTCAACATAAGAATCTAGGAACATCATAATAAACGCAAAAAAAAAGAGACCAATAAATCAGGGGTAGATGACAGCCTGGTCACATGGTCGCCATTTAAGGTGGACAGAAGCAAACATTTTGCACAAAGAATCACACTGGAGGAAGAAGAACTTCAAGGAAGCACCAGCATCCTGACTAGTTCAGTAAGCCTTTAGTCTGGAATCCCTTGTTAAACAGATGTGACCTTGGAATTAAATGCTTAGTTGCACTAGACATGTAGCTACTTAACTTATTCAGGACGGCTGAAGATACTAACCAGTCGAATTGTGGTGATTAAAAATATCAAGGCAATAGAAGTACTATAAACATACCATCCTCTGATATTGTAACAGCTTCAATCTCATATCCTGAAGCTAAAGTGCATATTGAGGCCGATAACTTTTTCATTAATAAATTAGGAAGAATTATGGGGAATAAGGTCATTATGGATCCAGATATAAAAGTAAGGAATATTATGACCAACCAAACTGAAAAAAACTATTGTATATTTTTCAAAACAATAAATGGTTATTACCAGAACCAAAAAAAACATTCTGTTGGCCACTTGTATACGTTGGCACCCATGAAAAATAAGTTCCCAAATATTTTCCAAATTCAAATCCTGCTAAAGCAGCCCCTATCAATCCAGGGCTGTGTTTTTTTGATATGTTATCATCTATATAGGAAATACCATGGCATAAAAACGATATGCTTGTTACAGAGAACACTATTAAAAAAACTATAACAAGTACAAAAGCTATGATATGTAGCTCTGGTTTTATGGCATCGTTAATGTTTCTGTACAATAGAGGTTGGCATAAGGAAGGGCCTTTTAAAGTATCCAAATCAACTTCCTCATTTCGATATGGTTTGTATATTTCAGGTGCAGCAATTAAAAATCCCGCCACAGCCAAGAATATCGTGGAAACTCCAATCCATTTCGGCCTATGAGTTTTGTTTCCATAGTAGGCCACAAAAAGGGCAAAAACTCCGACCAAAAATTCATTAACATAAATCACCCATCCTTAAACAACAATTCTTATCAGATCAGATAAATAATAATAATAATATTAATATAAAAAAAATACTTACCGACAGTTTGCGATTCAATATTGTAATGTTTGCCCCACACCTGCGATGTACTTCTAAAGTATGTCAAAACTAATCCGTGAAAAAAACCGTTGATACTCAAAACCAACACAAAAATGTTCGGCGTAGCGAATCTGTCCAGATACTTGTTGAATCTTGGAAAAAAAGTCCAGCCGCAGTCCACTTGCTCGGTGGACTTGGCCGCGTCCACTGGGGCCGAAAATTCCACTTCCACCCCGTTAGAGTCGGCCCTTAGCAAATCTCTTGGATGTATCATTTCTTTTGAGAATCACCCATACTCTTTATGTATTGTACCTACTATTATTGCGAGGTAAACTATTTAATCTAACAGTGAGATAAGATAAAATTGTGGCACAGTTTTACTCATTCGATATTACGTTATGTCAATTAAAAATATTAATTACACTCATCCACAAAAAAAAGTCTTCTGAGGAAACAGATTTCTCTTTCTGTGTAATTGAATTGGAGATAATTTGATTTTATGGGTAGGTACCTATTAATTAGCCTTTGAAGCGTAAAAGTACACTTCAATTAGTAGACTGGACGATTTAGTGTTATGGAGGAGTATGTTTACTTTTGGAGGGATAACCCCGCACAAGTAAGTGGAAATGAAATCAACGGAATCCTTTTATCTCGCGTTCTATCCGGGGGGTGGAAAGCATCGCGACGATACACTCACCCCAATGATAATAATGAAGCCGGCACTTTTCTGTTATGCGCGCTATCGTCGACCGCATTCTGCCAATTCGATAAGTATTATTGGTGTTTTTTAATGATTTCGTCGTGCTTCCTTGCGCTTAGATTTATTATTGCTTACGGAAATTAACCGAATTAAATCCAAAGAAACTCATCTCTCACAACAGATACCGATACACCCTTGTAATATTTTTTCGCAAGAATTCCTCTATACAAAATCTTCACTTCCAAACCTAAACTAATTAACATGGGGATTGAATTACGCTTTTCCGTAACGAATGAAATTTTGTTATTCACTTAACCATCGGGAATGGTACAAGACAAGACAAGACACAAAAGATCGCTCTGATTAACATCAAAGTTAAGAATTCTTTAAAATAAAGTGTCTATATAGATAGACAGAAAATTGATAATAAAATTAACCCTTTAATAAGAGACTCTTCCAACCAGTTTATTAAAATGTCGCGGAGCACGAAATGTACTACTCCCTCACTTTAAGATTATAAATGCTGTTAGTCTTACAAAAACATCAAGATTGATTTTCCATCCGAAGGAATTACACCGACAAAAATTAAATCTATCAATTAAAATCCTTTTAAACAAAAATCCCCAATAAACGCACACACGCACCGAAGAATTCTCCATGCATGAAAAACTATCTTTCACTACTTCCACACAGATGTCGCCTGCATCCTAACGCAACTGAACGGCGAGTAATCGCTACATAGGTAGAGGCAACCAATTTCAAATAAAAACTCCGATTATATTATGAAAATAACTATAATATGGCTTAATAATGAAAAACTTATGGGGGCGCTATATTGCAAATGAGCCCGCATTTGTACAACTTTCTACCTTAGCTTTCATACGAATTTAGTTTACTTTAAATCCAGCAAACATGAAAAATGTTAGTTGGGTTTTGCTTAATATCCTAGTTATTTCGGCTGCTCTAAACATCAGTAAGTCAAAAAATTGTTTCTTCATACTTGGAAATATAATTTGGTCTAAGTATGGTTCAAATAATAAATTTTTACCTTTAGCGGAAGAACAAATGCCCAATCGCAAACCGAAATTCTATGGACCTCTAATTGGTGCCTTTTTGGCCAACTTACTGGCCATACCCATTACAGCAAAGATTCTACCACAGGGCACACCAGTGAGGCTTACTTACGATCCACATCAGAGCTTTTGGAATCCACACAGTACTTTGGCGAACAGCTATGGGGCACCAAACTACTATCCTACTTTAACAACTGGATCACCACAGATACATCATCATCATCACCATGGAAGTAAACCTGGCACAAGTCAGCAGCAAATAGTTACCATACATAAACACCCCGATGATGTTGTGATTGATGAAACTTATCCTGATGTATCCGATTCACCTCAATCCACTATAATCCCAACTGTTTTGTCACACATAGAAGAAATACCGAATTTTACCCACAACCCAAGCGAGTTATTAGAACCACTACCAGCTGAGTCAACGATCAATGAACGAAGAGTTAAGGCACCAAAGGAATTAAGACGAAGAACAACAACTCAAAGGCCAAAGCAGAAGAGAGGCACCCAGAGATATTATCAGGGAAAAAAGAAGCACAATAATAATAATAATAAAAGAAGAAAGTACACAACCACGGAAAATTACTACGACAGTTACGAAGAATACACAACAAAAAAACCTAGAAGGAAATCGCATGCTAAACGACCAGCAGCTTCTTTATCCTATGAAGACAGTGATAGTGACAGTGAATACGATGACTACCAATACGAAGAATCCTATGAGTACACCACCAGAAGACCTTACAAGAAAAGAAGGCGCACCACTACAAGAAGAACAAGATACCACAACAAAAATAAAAAGAGGCAAGATTCATATGATTATGATAACGAATATAATTACAACTATAGGGAACCTTTTGATACTATCAATGTGAGACCAAGGCAAGAAACCACCACTGAAACGTCCACTACCACTACAACTGATGCTAGTACTACGCAAGCTACCACCATTACAAACGGTACTACAAGTGCTCCTAATGGTACTACAAATGCTACCGGATATGGTAAGGATTCATTTAAAATATAAATCTTGAAACTTCTATATCATTATTTTGTTGTTGTTTAGGATACGGTCCTTCAAATGGCAATGAGAATATCAGTATAACTTACGGCCCCCCTACCGGTGGTAATAATGGGGCTTATGGGCCTCCACGGCCATCGTATGGCCCGCCTCGTTACCCTGGTCCACAATATGTGGCCCAATACAGCGATTGGTACGAGAGTGAACCAACGAGGAACTCTGTGGTGCAAAATGTCCACGATCTTATTGGTTTGGACAATATTTTCCAAGGATAATTTTGATTAATACTTAAGGTATGCTTTTTATAGGTTAGGTTGTGGGTGTATTAATATTAATATCATGTAAATATTTTATTATTTAAATAAAGTGTTAATAGTTATATTTTTTCATTGTGATTTATTTTTGAGTGTTTTGAAACAAGTTGTTTGTATGCCAGAAACGCGTTGCCAAAAAGTGATAAAATAAAGTAGATACCTACGCATCACGGTTGACACAAAACGTCATAATGTGTTTTATAAAAATAATTATTTGGTTAATATTTCTAAATCAAGATAAAGTGAGGGCATATTCGCAATTAAATAATGTTGGAAATAAAACGCAAACGTTCAGAAAATATAGGGTAGATATAAGGAAGATATCGTTAAATTGCTGGATTCAACGATTATCCTTTAAGGACAGTAGCGCGTCATGTCGCTTTACAGCAAATATTTGTGGGGATTTTTTAAAAAAATTTCATGTGATAGGCACGCCACTGCAAATGACCATAGCCTCATAATGTCCACGTTATCATTATTTTCGATCTAAAAGTAGACACGAAATAAAGTAACAGACAATGTCACATGAAATATTTTATTAAATTGTTATTTTCCAAAGAATTTATTTCTAAGGGTAAAAGCAAAAATTATAATAATAAATAATAATTTATTAACGATGTTTGTCGGATCGATAGTCCAATTTTGAAAATAGTGTTTAGCTACTTAATTATTAATATCTGCGTAGGGTATTGCACAAAGGAAAATGTCACTTTTCAGAGATATATTATATGTTGTCTTAAAAGAACCGTATGTCTGACGACGTTTCGGTACAATCTCATGTACCATCTTCAGGTTTTATCAAAGGGGCTGCTGTTGCGGCTCTGCTGCGAGTTAGACGTTTAACTCGCAGCAGAGCAGCAGCAGCAGCCCAGCAGATAAGACCTGAAGATGGTACATGAGATTGTACCGAAACGTCGTCAGAAATACGGTTCTTTTTAAGAACCAAAAACCGACAATACGGAGCAGATCCCGGAAAACTATCAATACATATAACGCCCATGGAAACCTATATATACACATATATTTGTTTATTTATATAAATAAACAAAGGACCACTATTGGCAAGCACATTGGCAAATCTTTGTCTTTTGCCAAAGGTTGCATATTTTAGTGAGCAGTTGGCTTGGAGATTTGGGTTATTGTTTTGGGAAAAAAATTGTCTAATTTCATTTTTGGCACAACGAGAACGACTAATTGTTGCGTTAGAGATATTTAGACGGTTAGAGATAAAAAAAATAACCAGGAAACATTGAAAACGTTTCGGTAACAATCAAGTTCCGTCCCTTGTGTTTCACACGCATTACATGAAAAATTCATGGACGTGGGGGCGAATTAAAAGTTTTTACGACACTTCCCTTGTTAGCAATCGCGTCGGGAAAAAAATTGGTCAATATATATAATAAAAGCGTAATTACGGCATTACTTATTTAAATACCGAATTGCGTGTAATTTCTGGGGAGTAGCACTTAAGGTGACGGGGTAATTTATGAACATCCCTTATCTTTTGACACGTCTTCGTGCATATGCCGAAATTTTTTTGGCCACCTGAAATTTCGGGCACGGGTTAAAGTCTTCTCCTTGACGAAGTAACAAAATCAGTTCAACATCTGATAAATACGCAACAGCTGTGACTATTAACCAAGGGACGACGAAAATAGAACCTCGAATCTCCATCGATGTCGTCGCAAAACAATTTACAACAATCCCCCGCTACCTCCGCCGAAAACAAATTTTATTTATACAAAAGTGTTTTGCGTGAAGCACCTTCGAATTGGCATTACGCCTGTGTTTATAATAAAATCGATAACAACAATGAAATAATTTGTTAGAAGTAATTAGTAAGTGCTTCAATCATCGATTTCAATGTAATTTTGTTAAGTATCCAGAAATAAACTTCTATATATCATTAGGCTGATGTCTTGAAATGTAAAAAATATTATATATATGTATATATATCCAAACCCATCCCCGCGTGTTTCACGACAACACATGTTTTCAGTTCCAGTGGAGTTGATTGCCATATTGAATTCAGTTAATACAGTTCCTTTTTATTGCAAATTTCATTATGTTTATTTGAGAACCGCGCTTGTATTTATAATAAAATTATTATCAACAAACCATAGGATATGATCATTATTATTACGCATTGATTGATTGCGCCAAGCAAAACACCTTCAATGTATGTTTTTAGTTGATATTTTAACACCTTTTATATTCAAGGTGTTGTATATTCTAGAGAATTGGTGAAATGAATAATATTAATGGGACACCCTGTATATAAAATTTATACGGGGATTTAACACCTACTATTTCATTAAATGGCATCAAAGATATAGATGCTGTTTTGTAGTCCCTAACAGTGTACATACACCTTCGAAAGTTAAAAAGAACCATAGATAATGTATGTTGGGATTTTTTTGTTGCATTTTCTAAATGGGGTGGCACAATGCATCGAGCAGCTGCGATTTTAATCCTTAACAATGGCCTTTCTATTAATATAGATAAAATTTGGCTATTTCTCTACATTTGTCAGACGACATATATATATGTGTATATAATTAAATTTCAACATTTGTGATTACAGAGCGTGAAATTTTCGACTGGCAGCTTGAGGTTATTAAAAAAAAAACCATAACGCGTCGCATGGGGTACAGAACTAGAACAAAGGAAGTGGTACCATATGCGGCGCATTAGTGTAATAATATGCTAAAGTACGGCCCTGCAGCCCATGAAAAAGCGTGCTGGGTGCCTTACCATCATCCATCTGTGCCCATAAACCCAACACTGAGGAACGACAGTTGAACATCATTTCCACCAAGAAGTCGTACGCATCAAATCATTTTAAATCAATTTTTTAAAATGGAAACGAAAACAAACAATGTTTTATATTTTATTGTGTGGCTGACGCCATACAACAGTTTTTGAGATACAGTCATTTTTCCATATCATTTGGAAAATTGACTATATCTCAAAAACTGTTCTAATTTTAAGATTCAGCCGACAATTTTATACAGTAATTGGCTGCTAAATGTTCGGGATGGAAACTGATGTTGACGAGAATTATTGACTAGCACATTTATAAAATGTAAATAACTCAAGAAGGGTGGGAATAGATGTTGTGCCGTTTAAACCAACCCCAAGTACGCTTTAGTTGTTCCACTTGGCAAATGCTGCCCTAGTACGTAGTGCTTCGTTTGGCACACCTGGCCGAATCGGTGTCCGGGACCCCCCCTTTTTTCCATAGCACCCTAACTGAACTATTATTCAGCCGGGAGCGAACTATTTCCCTTTCAACAGAGACTGATATTAAAAATCTCGCAAATCGAATCAATCAAGTTGGCGAGTATCGATTTTGTTTCGCTGTTCGAGAATACTTTGTAATACCGCCCTGATGTGTTTTCTTTAATTAACGCCCTCTGAGTGGTACTCGGGATATCGTCGTCAGATTATGATTCTCGAAAATTTTTATATACGTATGTGCAGCTCGTAAAATATCAAAATCGTAAAAACTATTTACAACAGGTCGATTGAATTCATTTGTTTTGTTTCGAAGCGGAAAGCTTAGCAAATGTACTAGAAGATTGGGTTTTAAACGGTTACAAAATTTTCGATTTAATTTTCAAACGCGACCGTTAATTTTATTTATCAGTATGTAGGAAATGTGTAGGGCGCCATTTTATTTTTTTATTCAGAAATTAATTTTATGTGTTACGCCACAAAAACCGAACCATTCCAACAACAAACTAACGTGCACTGTCCTTGTTCAGCACACGCTGGGTAAGTGCGACATCGGACTCACGTACGTCGTAGATCACAGCGATTGTGCCGCCATCTGGCGACATAATTAGTTTGGAATACCAGGGGTGTCCAAACTTTCAATCTGAATTAAAAATATCACATTAAATTTTGAAAAATGAATGCAATTAAAAATGTCTCCTATGATATGATAACTAAAAAATACAAATATAAGAATTCACTAAATTAAAAATATCACTGTTGAAAATATAATGTAGGAATTTTGTTGTTTGCATATGTAGGTAAAAGGTTTATACCTACATATGTAATTGGAATTTGGAAAATAAACAATCAAGGTAGGTGTGTAATTTTGAAATAATAAAACATGGTAGTTATGTTGATGTAATAAATAATAATGATAATTATAAGAAGGGTGTAAGTATTGTTGTTATTTATGTGTGTTGTATGTTTAATCAGGCCGAGTGGGGTATATAGGGTATGTCCCCACCACCGTAGGCAATGGTGGAAGGAATCGGCTAACATCCATCCAATCCAGGGGGCGCATTAACTAACAACAACAAAAGCAGCAGTGGCAAGCGTACGCGTAAGCGGCAGATATAGCCTGGTCGTGTGTGTTGGGCTTATTCGCTAGAGAGCTTAGAAGCGGGCATATGTGCCGAGAGTCGAGTTAAACGTTGACGTTATCTGTTGGCCCTTAGAGTAGTAGTGCGTTTTAAACAGGCAGTAGTGAAACAGCTGTGGCTAAATTTAGTATTAGTGGTTCGCATGTAGAAAATAGCCGAGTTCTCGCAGACAGTCGAATTAAAACACACGTGCTTTTCGTTTATGGAAGATTAGATTTGAAGTAAATTTCAAAAACCGAACAGGAATTAAACGCGATTCCGTGAAACTTTATGTGCAATAGGTCTGTACTGCATACCTATGCGAGATCGGAGGAGTACCTTTACCAAAGAGTATATCAATAACATTGTAAATCCTCTTGGAAACCGTCCGGCCCGAGCAACGGAAAACCATCAAATTCCTCGCGTAACGACAGAGGAGCGCGTGGCAAACGCCGAGCCCGCCGAAGAACAAAACAAAACGCAAACGATGCTGATGTCGAGCGCCGCCGCCGGAATCTCAGCCACCACCGAGACCGACGCGCTCGTCGGCGGTCTCGGCGGTCTCGGCGTGCTGGCCGCCACGCCGACCCTAAACGGCACCGGCGTGCAAAACAAAGACACCACATGGACCAAGCTCTTCGTAGGAGGCCTGCCCTACCACACCAGCGACAAATCCCTCAGGGACCATTTCGCCGTCTACGGCGACATCGAGGAGGCCGTCGTCATCACCGACAGGCAAACGGGCAAGAGCAGAGGATACGGATTCGTAAGTACCGCCACACTCCAAAACTAGCTCGAAATGCTATGCCAAAATAAACAGAACAAAGTAGAACTTAGTTAATAACACAATTCCACAAAAAAAAAAAAAGTGGTGTATGCTGGGTATTTTTTCCCGTTTAACACGAATCTGAATTGCAAGTAATCAAGAAAAACCCAAAACATTGATAATTTTTTTTTGTGGACCTGTGTAATCAAACGTGAACCCTATTTAAAATAAACATCAGGCAAAATGAACAGCTGTTATAACCTCCCCTAAGGATTATTGTTCTCTACCTAACAATGCATAAAAGGACGGGACAGGACCGATTCCTATGAAACTTGTCGAACTTTATTATTTTATTACCATTAATTTGAACGAGCGTTGATATTCTTACTTGGACCGCTCGCTTTCAAAAAAAAAAACTTATCAATCAACATTTGTTTACAGAGTCACTATTTGTTATCAAACACTCTTATCTCTTCCTATTAAGTTAAGAAGTTATCTCGCATACCTAAAAAATACATACATACATTTTTTTTTTACTACCGACGCTGAAAAATTGGTTCTTACGCACCTCACCTATTATTAATAGGAAGATCCTTCTCATCACAGTTTTCCATTTTTTCTTTATACATATGTTTGTAGTAAATTGAATGCTCTACAAAAAAGGATGTTTAAGCGATTACTCTAACCATTTAAAAGATATTCAAGATCAAAGTTTAAAGAATTTCTAAAAAAAAAAAAAATTTTGTAACTCATTTAAAAATAATTATGGTCAAATGTTTAGAGAGAAAATTTAATTCTCTACAAGAAAGGTCTGATGTGTTTAATTGATTACTCTAACCGTTGAGAAGATATTCGTATCAGTACGCATTGGAATTGATTAATAATGAAATATGGTCTTTTTATAAAGGACTAAAGAAAACTGTGATTAATATTAAGAGCTCATCCAAGTATTTCTAGAGATGCCTAAGAACCAATTTTTCAGTTTTGGAAATATTCGATTTTTTTAAATCAACCGGGGCGTTTTTTTTTTTTCTAGGTGATAATGGGCGATCGCGCGTCGGCCGAAAGGGCGTGCAAAGACCCGAACCCGATCATCGACGGTCGCAAAGCGAACGTGAATCTGGCGATCTTGGGGGCCAAACCCAGAGGAAACGTCCCGACTGGTAAGTCGCAAGTCGATTATATTTAAATGGCGTGCCGTCGAACCGTTTGTTTTAAAATTTTAATGCGCTTCGGCACGAGTTCACGCTCTGTTTTATACTCACCCTCCGGACTTCCGCCACATCCGGACTTCCGGAGTGACGCGCGACCACCAAACGACGATCCGTTTATCCGGCGTTCGGGAAAAAACAATTAAGCGCAACTGCCCCGCACAACAAAAGACCCGTTCGTTATGCTTATTGTATTTGCATTTTTATTACGCTGCACAACACGATCAAATAACATTTTAATTTACTAAGCCTATAATTTTATCGCGGAACTATTTTTTGAGTTTTTATACATTTTATACCTCCTAGGCTGTAAAAATAATTTAAACCAATCGAGTAAAGTTTTTCACCTCCTAGTCTGTAAAAAACTGTTTTTTTTTAATTATGCCACTTTGCGCCACAATTATCCAATTTTGTTTTAGGTAGAGAAAAAATATTTTTTTTACTTTACCACTTTAAATACACATTGACAAGTTGTGGCTTTATAGCGCTTTAGTCACGGGTTGAAGTTAGTTTTAAATTAGTTGACAGATGTCAAATGTCATACAATACAAAGTGCCTTTCTTGTAAAATAATACTAAATGTGAAAAAAATTGTATTATATCAATACAATACAATACAATTTTGCGTACAGTGCCCATAAAACATTCACTTCTCTTTTAATGTGAAAAACTGCTTCTATAACGATTATAAGTTTTAACGCCGGTAGATTCCCAAGTTACTTTTTCCCGTGTAAGAATTTTTAATACTTTGTGATAATATTTGGCAATTATAGCAATAAAAAAATCAAAGGATACAATATTTTCTTAACATAATCATATTTTGAAGTTATTTTAAATTTCAAACTACCAATAATGGTTATGTTTAATTAAAATAATAACGGGCAATATTAATGGTGAAAATTACGTCAAAAATGTTTATTGAGATGGTTACTTTATTTTCGTATAGATGTCGCTTTATACAAATATTTTATTATATTTATTATTTTGAAATTTTTTTTAGATAATATTAAATATTTGTCGTATGCAACTATTTAATTAAGCACTCGCTCGTGCCTAAATTAAATTCGTGACGTTTATTAAACTTTATACATAATATACTATTAATTAATCTTGTCTTCGTGTAGTTTTATGAATTAAAATAATAAATACTAGTACAAAATTATGTATTAAGCAAAACTAAATGTCACACAAAATTTACTAGATAAAATCATCGACAGCCCTGAAAACTGGGTGTTATTTTTGGAATAAGTGGAGGTCATTTAGTAAAACTTCCTGCAATTTTAAAATGTAATCAAAAATAAAATAAACAAAAAAGATGTGATACTTTTAAATTATTATTTTGTTGTCAATAAATTGCTTTGATTAATTGCTTGTTAGTTCCATTGAGGAGCTCCTAACCTAACCTACGCATCACATAATGATGCTAAATATATTTCCAATCAATTTTTAAACAGAAAAACGTATGCAGATGTAATCACAGACGCGTTTTACCGTATGACGTGGGGCGAAAAATGCTCATCTTCCGGTGAAACTTGTTCAAAAAAATTCAAGACGGATGTTATCGGGTATCAAACATCCCTCTGGTTGTAATTTTATTCTACCAGTATTATTTGGATTAATTAATGGCGCCCACCTAATAAGGGCTTCCTCGTGACGATTTTTCGTATTCCGTTTGACATGCTGTTAACACATGATTCGGCAAGGTTCAATGTATCATAAAATTGTAACTTTTTTTTGTAGGATTCACGTTCCCCAGCGTTAGAGCGGGATACCCGACGCTATTACCAAGCCAATACGGGTAAGTGCGAGATGTAGATTTTAGTTTTTTTGCAAAACCGGTACACAAGGTTCAAATTGTTTTCTGTTATTTTTTTCTCTTACTTTATTCAACAGAAAAAAATATGCATCACCAAGTCTATCGTAACCAATAATTTCATATTTTCTAGCTACATATGTCACGAAGACAGTTGGTGATTTTATCCAAAACGATATTGAATTTGGCTGACTCAATGAGACGTCTTTCAAACATAAACTATAAACAGTTAGTTCCTTCGATGAGTTCGATGAGTGTTTGTGGTGTGTGTGTGGATTTTTTTTTACTTTTTTGACATTAGTATTGAGTTCCACTTACACTATCGGGCAAAAGAAATTAACCAAATATTTTTAATCATTTAATATTAAGCGATTTTAATCATTTTTGTTTATTATTTATTTTACCTGCAAAAATTAAAAAGGTCATTGTAAAACGCGAATTATTTCTCCTTTATGTAGTCTTCTTGATATTTAAAAATTTACAAAAAAATTATTTTAATGTGTTAAGTATTTTTATATATACGAAAGAATAGAAAAAATCTAACGAGGTTTCAAGTTAAAAATTATAAGTTATAATGAATTAAAGTTCTGATTTTTTGACATCTGTCAACCAGCTGCCTTGTTTCCATAGCAACCTAAAATAACTTTGGTATTTTTATGAGTAAACCGTAAAATAACAGCAATTTTTAAAAGCGAATAATATTAATTTTTTAAAATTATATGAGTACAGTATGATTTACAAGTATTTTTACTAAATTTAAGGGTGCATTTTTTTATAAAAAAAATACTATTTTTTGTATACAGGGTGTACAAAAGTCATGTATTTAATTAATAACTTTTCGTCTTAGAATATCATCTCCTATCCACTCCTATTCTGATGTCCATGACTTTTGGGACACCCTGTATATATATATATATATTTATATATATATTTATATATATATATATATATATATATATATATATATATATATATAATATTTCTACTCTCAAATATATTTGGTTAAATCTTGGTGATAAAATGGGCCTCTAAAATTTATTATATATACTTGTGAACCTGTATGGTTAAATTGCTTTTGTCCAGTACTGTATATTTAAACTTAGCTGAAATATTCGTTTGGGCCTTTGTCCCTTAAGGACAAAGGCCGGGCGAATGTTCAATTTTTTTGCACGATGTCCGCCAACATCTCACCACACAAACCCTTGAAAACAAATTAATTAAAAAAAAAACTAAACCATTAGGGATGATCGTTTCGAAACCAAAAAAAAAAAAAAAATGACGGAGTGTCGAGCCAAGTGTAAATCATCTCGTGTGGTTATTTTTAAAAATCTTTTTTCGGTGTGGCGGACGCAATCTTACTGTTTGCTGTGAGGTTTTTCGTTTTTTTCTTTTTTGGGCTGACTATTTTGATGTTCGTTCTTTTTCTTTTTTTTTTTGTATCTCGACTGCAATGTAACACCAAAGCCGGGTTTACACCGCATTGATGCCGGTTTAAGCCTGGTTTAGCGACACTAACCAATGGATGTCGATGTGCTTGGTTGTTATTAGTTAAACCACAATGCATTTGTTAACTGTGATATATTTTTTTTTTTCGATGAAAAATACATTTTGGTTTGGCTTGGTTGTGTTACAGTGCAGTGAGTGGTGGAGGTATTTTTTTTGGTTGAGTTTTATGGACAAATTTTAACAACTGCTATCGCAAATATTAAATAACCTAGAAGGCTTGTTTCTAATGGGCATTTGGACATTTTAAGTGCTCGGTGGGAACAAGCCTAATATTGAGTTAATGAGTAATTGTACTAGAAAATTTGTCGATAATATACACATTATTATTATTATTATTATTGTAGCGAGTGAGCGCGAATGTATGGCTTGTGTGAAAATTAAAATCGCGTCGCGACGTTTTCCAAATTTTATACACCCTGTATATAAGCTTTTTAATTTATTTTAACCATATTATAAATTCGTAATTGTATTTTCTGTGTTCAATTTTTTTTATTTCGATTTCCCGTGTAAAATGCACGTGCAGGTTAAAAATATATAAAATCATGGTCACATATATATATAAAATTATACATTTTATCTGTTCATCTCTCTTTGGTGAATTGGTATTAGTCGAATAAAAAGGGACGAATTCACCGTTTTATTATTTTATCGCAATTTGCTGTTTACAAAAACAACAAGACTCGATTTCAGTTGAATTTTTCCAGAAAATCCGGAAAATGTTGTATCTCGTAGCCAAATCGAAATGCGTCATTCTTGGCCGTACTAGTAAACGAAAATAGCTCGAAAATTAATTACCCGAGATTTGCTTCTCCACGCGCTTTGACACCCGACTTTAAATATAGATACGTTTTATCACGACCCGTCTTTATATTTACTACGACAAAGCAGCTGTTAAGCATTCTTTCCTGACGGACATTTTTTGTCCGCACCTACGAAGGAATTATTGAAAAAATAACTCTATAAAAGCATCAACCGAAAGTGAATTTTAACAGAACAACATTTATATACAGTGTGTTGCATTTTTATTGGCAACAATTCAGTAATTAGGTATTTAAATCCGATTAAAAAAAAAATTCATGGCTTTCTATGATTAATAGAAAAACACCAAATAATTTAGTAATACAATTTTATACAGGGTGGTCAAAAAGTAAAGTCAAATTTTTTTGTGCTTAAAAATTGTTTTACTAAAAATACATTTTTTTGATCGGCCTATTTTTAAATAAATACAAACAAAATGAAACACACTGTATTTATTTTAAAACTCATATGACAGAAAAGCTATAAAAAATCAATTTATGAGGATATATGTCTAAGCTATTAATGTTATAAGTATTTATGAAGTTCTCTTTGTCTCAGGTTTCAAATTTTACACAAATACATATTCTTTGATCACAGTATTCCATGGGTACCTACTAAATTTATTTAAATTATATACAGAATGTCCAAAGTTATCTTATTGCTGACATTGTTATTATTAAAGGTACATATTTTTAAAACGTACATGTTTTCATGACACTAAGTGACCTTTTAAATACACATTGACAAGTTGTGGCTTTATGGCGCTTTAGTCACGGGCAAAAGTGATAAATAGTTTCTTGACTAGTTAACTAGATTTAACTGATAAAGCGTTAAAAATTTTGCGTACAGTGCCTATAAAACATTCTCTTCTCTGCTTCTATATCGGTTGTTAGTCTATTTTCAAGGGATAATGTGTGATTAGACATAAAAAATTGAGATTTTAACGCCGGTAGATTCCCAAGTTAGAAATTCTAACGGGAATTCCAATAAATACTACTTTTGTACCAACATTTCCAGTGTAGGAATGTTTAATACTTTTTGATAATATTTTTCAATTATATATCAAAGGATAAAATATTTTTTTAACATAATCATTTTTTGTATATTATTTAAATCAGAAGAAAAATTGCTAGTATAACCGACTTAATAACTCTAATAATGACGGAGCATTGGACATGGTGTATATATTTTGGGGACACAATTTAAAAAATTTCCACTTGAAAAATCATCGTAGTGCCAAAAAAAATTCGCGCTTTCCAAAATAATAGGATGTTGCGGTCTTAAATCGCATAAACTAAATATTACAAAATAATTGTTCAATGTTTAATGCTAATTAAATGATTACAGTCACGAAAATATGTTAAATATTTCCGTTGAAATAATTTAAAGTTTACCTTTGACAATTCTCTCTTAAAAGGCCGATTTAGTCCTGTGTATCTCTATTGTAACGGGTGCGACAGTGACACTGCGTTTTTTCATGATAGAAAGTGTTTGTATATCAAGATACGTTAATATACAAAAATAGTATAAAAAATTAGATATTTATAGAATTAAACTTTTATAACGTTATAGATCGCGTAACGGGCGCGACATTAGAAAATCGACGAATGCTTCCAAAGTTGATTCTGTAAAATTTTGGATGAAAGCACATAGTAATAATTTTTTGTGTAAAACTTGAATTTTAGAACGATATGAATAGCGTAACGGGCGCGACATTAGAAAATCGACGAATGCTTCCAAAGTTGATTCTGTAAAATTTTGGATGAAAGTATACAGTAATAATTTTTTGTATAAAACTTGAATTTTACAACGATATGAATCGCGTAACGGGTGCGACATTAGAAAATCGACGAATGCTTCCAAAGTTGATTCTGTAAAATTTTGGATGAAAGTATACAGTAATAATTTTCTGTGTAAAACTTGAATTTTATACGACGAATGCTTCCAAAGTTGATTCTGTAAAATTTTGGATGAAAGTACCTATACAGTAATAATTTTTCGTGTAAAACTTGAATTTTATAATGTATTTTAACACATCTGATTTATTGTCAAGGTGGGATAGGGTTTCTTGTTGTCGAAATATCCTTATATTTTCTTGCAATGAAACAATATTGGACAAAGGTGGTAAAAAGAGAGAACATGTAATTGGGTGGTATGAAATGGGTGTGCACAACATAATTGCTTGGAAATTGGCGTGTATCGCGTAAAAGTGGAAGGTTTTCCTTAAGCTTGTAACCGAGTGGCGGATTTGTAAGGGAAGGCGGGATCTAGCGCAGGATAACCCGTTTCTATTGGATAATCTGAGCGCGGCTTCGCGCAAATCCGGACTTAGTTGCTGAAAATGATGACGTTTGCGCGGCCCGGAGTTCACCCGGAGGACCGGACTGACCTCAAACACCTTTCGAGTTGAAAATTTGAATACGAAACGAAATAAATAAATTTGCTTTATTGTAGGTATGTAAATATATGGTTCGTTTAAAGCGTCTTATCGGCGTCCTTATCGTACTCCACGGTAGTTTAAAAACTATAAATAAAACTGAATACATTAAAATGTACGACAAGATATTTTAATTATTTAGTTTCGACGATAACGTTACGAAAAAAAGGTATTGCGATAAGAATTGCATATCCTTTCAACAATTAACATGTCTTGTAAGAATCAATTGATTTTCCGTCACACTACTACCACTACTATATGAATACATTATGAAGTCAAATTAAATTAATCAAAAATAACATCAAATAACAATTTTCCTGTGTGTCACAAACGCGTCGAGGTCATTTTTGAAATATTATAGTTATTAGAATGAAATAAAAAGTATTTTTCGTTGCGACATTTAGACATTAAGCACAGCTAATGAACATTCCGTGCCATGAAATCACACATACATACATTTTACAACTAACAACTATTTTTGTTTTCACTGATCAATATGTTCCAACATTAACATACAAACATTCAGACAATTAAATAGAGGTTAGTGCTGCACATTACATTAAATCAATTGTTTCGTAAAAAAATTGTCATTTGCTGGTCAATGCCCGAAAAAAACGGAAGTACTCGTTTGGAAAATTACCCCGTCTCGATATAGATAGTGGTGGCTATCGACAAGGACATTTGCATTCGAAAAACCGCCATTTTGTAAATACAAATAGAGATGACATTTAGAAGCTTGCCAAAGTTTTAACCTATTCAAACGAAACATTTTTCGCTCACCCCTTCTGGATTTTTCAATCGATAATTCCTATGCATAATTGATGAGCAATTCGTGTAAAATTGACGTAATTGTGTTTATACACACGTATACAAATAATGTCTTAAGCCAAATAAATGTACGGCCGCGTACACCATTAATGATTATAACAGACAAATTCATAAAAAAAATACTTATTCGATAAATAATAAAAGTGCTGTCGCCTAAACGTATTCAGTATGCGATGTGATTCTAGTTAAAAATAATACATTAGTCAAAATGCGCAAACAATGTTAAATAGGGCGACCAAAATAGAACCTGGCACTATCTACTTTTAAATAATCTTCTTAAACATTTTACGTTTGCGGACATCTTAAAATTATTCTTTTATACTTTCTACAAAGAGATTAAATTAAATATTGCAATATTGTTTAATTTTACCATTTATTTTTGAACATTTTGTATATACAAACTAAGTTTACTCACTATAGTAAACAATGTTTTAGTAATCTTGCGAATAATTCGAAAAAAATAATTACAAAAATTTTAAGGATAAAAAAATAAATAATACGCCTTGTAAATTTTGTGTTACAGCACTTAGAACTTTGTATACTTTTTAAGTTTAATTAGGACCCATAGCTATGTTCAATACCAATAATCCTCGGTTATATACGAATTATTAAAAACGTTTTAGTTTTTAGAGCTAAATGAGCAAAATTATGGCCATTTTTGAAACCACTATGTATACATTGCTATAGCAAAGAAAACATTTCATTTTGTCGACCGTAAAAAAATCCATCCATTCTCGATTAAACCCAACCCATTTATGTAATTAATTATAATTAATTAGGTAAATTGGTTGGGTTTATTTAAAAAGTTCTGGATGGAGTCTACACAACTGAAACTTTATTAAATAAAATCGATTTATTCGTTCGTTTTTTTTAAAAATCACTTCTTAGGTATGAGTGGTAAAGTTACTGGGTTATTTATTATTTAAAAAATTAACACATTTTCTTTTGTAACCTTTTTCTTGAGTAACTTTTTCTTGGTCTTAGTGTGAATAATAAAAAAATCGTGTACAAAAAGTTGCTATATAATCCTTAAAAAACACCCTGTAATTTGTTTTCTATTAGTTGATATTTTAGTGCATTAAGATGGGGTTCCACGTTATAGTCCGTTTTGTATGAGAAAAAATCGCAAAACAGACTATACAACCCGAATCGGTGGTGTTTTGGTATTTACTATGGTGTTGCTTGCTGTGCTGCCACCAAAAAATTTGCCAGCCTCACTAAACACCTTCATACTTACAGGGTACCGCCTGGATACATGTACCAGTCGCCTTATCTGGCCGCAACGGCCCCTGGCAGCTTGGTGCCGCTGCAAACGACGCAGCTGACGCACGCAGCTGCAGTGGCTGCGGCAACGTCGCAGTTCTACGAGTACCAGAACGCGGCTGCGGTGGCGGCCGCCGCGGCGGCGCCCTACACCGGCCAGTACACCAACGGGTTCGATGCCTATCCTTACACAGGCGCAGCCGGTAAGTTCTTTGAGAAGAAATACTCACCAAAACAAAACACAAACTGCTTAAAGTACTTTTTTCGGCCCGCGGTCCGTTCCTACCCCTAACCCGCTCAAGCCATTCAGTTGGCTTCTGGGACTTCTTAGAAAGTAAGGGTGGAACTAAAAGAGCACTTTTGTATAAACTTTTTTTTTTCCAACGATGTTGTGTTTTTAAGAAAAAAAATGAACCTACACCTCGCCAAAGTTTTTGTTTCGAGTGCGTTCCACCAATTTCAAATACCGACAGACAGCTGTTTCGACCTATATTGGATCTCATCGGTGTCGGGCAACTTGGTGTAGTGGAACACACCCAAAACAAAAGGACTTCCTGAGCTTATATGCTCGGTTGGTAAGCCAACAGAGGCGAGATGTAAGAACATCACATGATCCACACCGTCTAACGACGTGGCCTTTGCCGCAATCGGTGCATACTATGCAACCAATAATGCACACGGCAAATTGTATCACATTAAAGTTTCTTAAAGAAACTAGGAGAACTTTGTGTTTTGTTTTGGTGTTGGGGAATTGTGTACTACAGGTCGAGACAAAATCTAATCTTGGACTTTTTTGCAGGAGCAGCCAGCTATATGCCATACACTTACGCAGCTTTGCCGCAAACTCCTGGTTTGCCCGCTGGAACGGCCGGAGCGTTCCCTGGTATTCAATATCAAACGGCAGCTCAAGCTCAAACCTTGCAAGAAGCGAGGTTGCAGTAATTTAAATGAATTAAAGAAAACAACAGCAAAATTGTTTTTTCTCTTGAATGTGTAGTGAGACTTAGTCATTGTCAATAGGTGTAAAACATTCGAGAAAAGTAATTTGAGACATTTTTGAGTAACTGTTCGGATTGAGGACAAAAAAACTGGTAATGAAACATTAATTTATTTTTTAGCTACATAGCAGGTTTTTTTGTTCTTTTGTCTATTTGGATAATTTGTTAATTTAATTTATTCTAGTAAATAATTCCAGTAAGTTACCAATATAATGAGTAATAAGGTAATAATGCTCAATAAATATAAACACAGACTTGAAAGATTGCCCACGCTTTTGCGGATAGTTTTTGTTAAATCTGCAAGAGAAGTGCAATATAACTAAAGTAATAAATTAGCAAAATCATAGATTTTTAAATAGTTCTAGTCTTATTATTATTACTACTATTTTATTATTATTATATTTGTATGATTTTTAATATATTATTACCGTTATGAAATATATCTCACTCAAATGGTTGTAATAAAAAAAAGATCATATAAATATTAATTTATATTATTAGGTACTTAAATATATTATCTAGAAATTATACATATAAATATAAGTAATATAAATCTCGATATTTTTGAGAACGTTTAAAAAAATTACATACATACATACATATATAGAAAAACGTTTTCTCAATCATATGTTTAGCTTAATGTCTTATCGGCCTGTACAGAAATAATAGTCACTCATTAAACGTAAATTTTCTTCCAAAAAGCACAAAATTATTTCGATTATTTATACATTTTCACTTTTGGTCATTAAAAACGCATAGTACTTAATTAAATTGAATTAATTAATTTCATAAATTATATTTTATTAAATCGTTTTTCTTTATTTATGTCAAGCCGTAAAAAGTGGCTGACGGATATTTTGACCGATTAAAAAGAAAGATACAGGGAGACCAAGAAGTGTGCCTTGAAGTATACCTACCTACCCGAATAAACTGGAATGCGACTGAGTAGTTTTTAAGTGACGCAAATAACTTGTGATATCTACTAATCGAGGAGAGTGCATACTTATAACATCTAGTCAGATATTTATTTTATTAATTTTGTTTTTATTGTTGCATGCACTTGCCGTCCACGTAAAACTCTATTATACTTAACATGTGTGTGTATCTTAGTGAAAAAATCCGTCTAGCCTTAACTAATAAAATAAAAAATAGCTAATACCAAAGATTGGTAACATGTAATTTATGTTGTTGTGAAAATGTAAATAATAATTCTATTAATTGGTAATGTATATCGGTCCAGTCTGACTTGGCCACCTTAAATATATTTTTGTTGTACCACAGTTTTTAAACGAAGTTTTAAAAACTACTTGTTATTACAAAACTTAAATTATTTTCTACTAAGAATAAGATATTAATATGTAATCAGTTAAAATAAATATTTCTAAATTTAATTTCTGTGTTTTATTTAAAAAATCACGAAACCCACCTCTAGCGACATCTATGCGAATACATATAAACCAACTATAGGAATATATAGGAAAAAGACCGCTCATTTTGAATATTATTTCACAACACTTAACCTTGACTTAATGCAATAAATATTAGATAAACAGTGCACTGTTGTAAAATGAAGTTATTAAAAAATAAATTGGGATTATTCCGAACGCAAATCAAAAGAAATTCCAGCGTAAGTTTAAATAAATCAATCAGCAATTTTTAGCAGTGAAACATTATTTTAGAACCATGTAAGAATAGTGGAGGTAGGTCCAAGAGATGGACTTCAAAATGAACCAGTACACGTCCCAACAAATGTTAAAATAAACCTTATAAATAAGTTATCCGAAACTGGTCTGCAGACCATAGAAGTCACAAGGTAGGTAAATAACAACAAAGAAGAAACGTAAACTAACCTAAGATTTTATAGTTTTGTAAGCCCAAAATGGGTTCCCCAGATGGCAGATAACACCAAAGTATTCTCAGGGATTTTAAGAAAGAAAAATATAAGCTACCCCGTTTTAGTACCCAATAAACAAGGCTTGGAGTCGGCTGTAAGTCCCAAAAAACAAAACATAACCTAAATAAAAAATTTCCATGTAGATTTCAGTGGGTGCCGAGGAAGTGGCAGTATTTGCCTCGGCATCTGAAGGATTTTCGCGTAAAAACACAAACTGCTCCACCCAGGAAGGACTGAAAAGGATAAGGGAGGTGGTGGATGAAGCCAAAAAAAATAACTTGAAAATTCGTGGGTATGTTTCGTGCGTAGTGGGTTGCCCATACGATGGCCACGTTAAACCCAACGAAGTCTCGAAAGTTACCGAAGCCCTATTGGACTTGGGTTGCTACGAAATTTCTTTAGGAGATACAATTGGGGTGGGGACCAAACAAAGCACCCACAAAATGATTAAGGACCTACTAACTATCACGTCGCCAGAAAAATTGGCAATTCATTGCCATGACACCTATGGACAAGCTTTGGTGAACATCTGCACAGCTTTGGACTTGGGTATAACAGTTGTGGACTCCTCTGTTTCTGGACTTGGGGGTTGTCCATACGCCAGAGGCGCCACTGGTAATGTGGCAACTGAAGATCTAATTTACATGTTGCATGGTATGGGAGTTGAGACTGGAGTCGACTTAAAAAAAGTTGTAGAAGCAGGCCATTACATATCAGAGTTCATAAAAAAACCAAACGCGTCCAGAGTTAACAACGCATTGTACACAAAATATTTTTCATAATAAAGAGAGCTTTACATATTATTGATTAATATATATTCCCATAGATGTCGCTGCAACTTAAAAGCTTCCACACACTTCCACAAGTATGTAAAAAGCTTTCTGTAAAGCTTTACCAGTCCGGGCTTGAAAAGTGCATACATTATTTATCCAGGGTTCAAACCCAGCACCATTTGTTTTGACCCTTTTATAAATGGCAGTTCTAGACATGGTGATAAAGAAAGTGCAATTTTAAAGTTAGAACGTTTTTCTTAGCTTTATTTATTAGTTATTTACTGAACATTGTGATTTTAGCATTTTAGGTAAGTGATATATATATATGTAGCTTTTAGGGAAAAAATCAATCAAGATGAACTTGGTCATTTTTTTTTGCTACCATAATATCAATATTTTTTTTTGCATTGAATTAACGTTAACCGACATACAAAACATTTTCATATATACAAGTATTTAAAAATTTGTTTTGTTTATAGTTTAAGTGGATTAACCCATATATAAGTCAATAGACTAAGGCAGTAGAGTCAAAGTTCTTTAATTTGATGTATGTCAAAACAAATACGTTTTTAGTCAATATGAGGATAAACGCAACCAGAATGACGACTCCGATTGAAGAAAAAGTGGACCAGAAGTTAAAAATCAGGACCGGCATGGTGACCGTTAGCGACGGCAAGAGCAGACCCATGCCAGTTCTTCTAAACCTGTCCATGGAAGTTTTGCGCCTGCAAAAGGAAGAACCGATCCCCCCAGAAGCAAGGCCGCAGAACGCTAAGGTACAATTTGTCGAAAAATTATCGCAAATCGTCCAATAACTCAACACGAAGTTCGTTTTTTGTTATCGGCAGGTCTAAATGACTTTTTCACGTGACTATAATCTATAAAGCTCGTATTATCCCTTTTTCGGTTTTATTTTAATTTAATGCATTAGCCATAGGGAAAAATCGATAATATATAATAGGAAAACTTGTTTTATTTTAAGGAGAGAATGGTTCAAGTCAGGAGGCAAAAAGTGGGCGGCCTAGGGCTAAGCATCAAGGGTGGCGCCGAACACAAATTGCCTATTTTGATATCGAAAATCTACAAGACTCAAGCCGCTGATCAAACTTGCGAACTGTTTGTAGGAGACGCTATCATTAAAGGTGAATATTTACTTTTTTTTTAATATTTCGCAATTGAGCAGAATTGTGCTGACCAAGCCCCCCATAACTTATAACTAATAAATAGTCTTAATTTTTTTTTTAGTAAATGGTGAATATATTACCGCCTGTCCACACGATGACGCAGTCAATATTTTACGCAACGCAGGAGACTTAGTAGTTCTAACAGTTAAGCATTACAAAGCAGCAACTCCATTTTTACAAAAAGGTAAACATTAAAAAATACTGAATTAAGAAAGCTATAAAAAAATATATTTATCTCCACGCGGTCTATAATTTAAACTTTATTGTTGTCAACATTCGTTAAAGAAATACCTTGTTATGGCCTAGGCCAATAAGAAATTTTATGAGCCCTAATTTGTTTGTTTTACTGTTAATGTTTAATATTTTTCATTAAATTATTGTAAAATTACATATGAATAATAAAACAAAAAGTGAGGTTAGGCAACCAAGAAAACGCACAATTCTTTTTCTACGATTTAAAGTTTTCAGTGAAATTAAATGTTAAACACAGCTTAAACATTACAAACTACCTATTTTTTATATAAAAATCCAAACAAATTGAAATTAGATACCTACCTATTTATTAAACAATTAATTGAATTCAATGTAATAGCAAAAATCCATTTCTACTTAAATCATGTTGCTAGGTATTGTCAAACTATGCTTCTAAAAGCAATAATAATTATTGTACATTTAATGTAATCTTTAGCTAATAAATAAATGAGATTCTAAAAAAGTGAGGTTAGGCCACTTTGATGTTGAATTAAATTGACCTATATAAAGTGCTTTGAAGATAAAATGTTTTATGCCATTCGGCCAAGAAGTGCCTTTTTGTGCTTCGCTCAATCAAACCTTGAGCTTAGCACAAAAAGCCTAATGACATAATTAATTTTTTTTTAGAAGACAAAGACTCAACACAGACTGACAGCAACAGCGAGGACAAGGAAGCGTCTGACGAGAGCCTCCGATTGGCCACGAACAGCACTAGCAGCCGACCGAGTTCGATTTGTTCCGAATCGGCCGAGGAGCCTCAAATGCGATGGGTCGACGTGGTCACCGTACCCCTGATGATGGCTTACGTCACGCGTTACATTTTTGGCACCGACAAACTAAGACCTAGCGCTTTCGAGGTCAGAGGTCTAAATGGCATCAGCACCGGCATAATACATTGCGATGATTCTGCCATTTTGTCGCAATGGCTGAAATTTATCACTGACAATATCATTGGACTGACTAATCTTCAAGTAAGGAGACCATTTATTTAGGCAACATAAAATAATTTTTTTTGTAGATGAAATTATACAATAGAAACTTCACTGTTTCCGACCGTATAGAATATATGGGCTGGGTGAACGAGGGTGTGTTGAACAATAATCAACCTTGGCAGAATTACAAGCCAAGATTTTTTGCCCTTAAAGGCACGGATTTAATGTTATTCGACTCACCACCGGTATATTTGTATACCTACTAATAACACAGAAAAAACTAATTCATATTTTTTAGTTGAATGTATTGGATTGGAGCAAATGCCCGATAATGTTTAAAGTCTATCAAACAATGTTTAGGGTTGTGAAAGATTCAGAAAATGTAGATGAAAGGCAACACTGCTTCCTGGTACAGACTTCCGGACAGGATTCCAGATATTTTTCAGTTGAAACTAGACAAGAGTTGCTCAGAATTGAAAATGCCTGGCATTGCTCAGTTTGTACTGCAGTCATGAAATTAGGCGTAAAAATTAGCAATATTGAAATATATTTATACATCTAACATATTTTTTTTAGAACAAGACTTTTACTGTAAGCAGTAACGGTAAAACCGCTGGCCTAACATTGGACTGGAATTTGGGATTTTCCCTGCACGAAGGGGATTCTAAAACACCATTATGGCAATATAAATTTTCTCAACTCAGAGGGTCATCCGATGATGGAAAATCCAAGTTAAAATTGCATTTTCAAGATTCTGAGTCAAAAGCTATTGAAACAAAGGTAAAAATGACTAAGATTTAGTTTATATATCTAATATATATAATAATAAAAATTAAATGGGATTTCACATTTCCACCTGTTTCTGTACTATTTGATTCTAATAAGCAGAACAAAATAATAATTTAACAAAATTTAAAGCAGTTTAACAAAGTTGGCTTTTAAAAACAATTGCTGGCATGTTCATGACACATGCGATTTTCAACTTTTTTATATAAGCGTTCTTAATTTTACTTCATTTTTAGAATTTTTAGAGATAACGCCAAAATTCTTAAATAAAAATTGCAATTTTGTGACAATTAAAACAATTAATTGCATTATCAACGCATCATCCCCATAATTATATTAAAAACAAAAGCAAAGTCAAAGTAGAAGTTGCATTATAATTATTATAGGTAGGCAATATCACAATGGATTGTGGGCAATATAAAATAACGTAACTTACCTTTTAATTTATGCTTCTTAAAAACGCCTTTCCAATTATGTCTTTAAAATATTCTGTCCAGCATACTTTAAACACTCAAGCACACAATTTTCCACAATTTAAACCACTACACATTGCTAATAACACTTGAAACCTCGGTGACATTTTAAAAAACAATTGCTGGCGCCGGCGCGTTAGTGTTCATTGCACATGCGTTATTTTAATCAGCGTTGCCGTACCTACGAGGAAAATAAAAATATTGTTTTTGTTTCAGGAACTGGAATGTTCCATTCTGCAAAGCCTTTTATTCTGCATGCATGCCTTTTTGACTGCAAAAGTGGCATCAGTTGACCCTGGTTTTCTATGTTCTACTATACCGTAAAGTAAAATAGGTATTATTAAATAAACCCAAGTATTAATAAATGTCTGTCGGTGAACCAGATAACATTAGCACAATTATTGTAACGCATATAAATAATTGTTAAGTGGCGTAATACAATTATTTTTATGTGTTAATAAAAATAGTAGGTATTAATTATGTGAAAATGAAAATTGGATTTTATAGTGATGCACAAAATCTGCGATGCACTTATCTATATTTTTATTTTTACAAGGTGTTCTGAAACTAATTGTTCATTATGTAGTGGTTAAATTAAATGAATTAACAGTTTGGGGTTGTAACCAGTTAATACGAAAATACATTTGGCAACGCGATGAGAGACTTCGGCGCATGCGCTTAGTTGTCCATCGTTTTGTTTAGTTCATTTGTTTATCCAATTAGTTTGGATGTTTTAGTGCATTAAATGTAAAAGAATCATGTAAGTTTATATTCTTATTAAGGTTTTATATGGTTTACAACCTAAAACTCGTTATTATTGAATATAATTCATATTTTGGAGCACCCTGTATGAGATGTTCCTTATAATAACCCTTTTATGGTAGATTTATTCTACTAGATTATACCTACATTATATTTATTATATAGTATATTGAAAAGCCAAATTGTTTTTCAAATTTGGTTATTTTTGAAATTAGATTAATTTATAGGAGAAAACTAACATTAAGGGGGTGTTTTTTTTAAATTTGCGAACTACTAGATGCGATTGAGTATGTCATTTTTATAGAAATTAATATCGCAAATTTAAAAAAACACCTCCAGGTTTCAATTTCCAAGAAAATGCATTTAATGAACACGAATATTTAAGTTTATTAAAAATAATTTGAAATTTGGATTTTTGATAAACTCAAAGTTTCTTGAAGTGTGAATGTCAAATGAATGAATAGTAATAAACTGTCAAATTAAAATTAGCACAAGAAGACTACATAGAGGAAGAGTAACTTACCAAAAAGCATTGGATGGGTGGAGTTACTTCTTCTTTATTTAGTATTCCTGGATTAGCAATAAGTCTAATTAAAAACTGTGTATTCCAGTCTTTATAAAATTTGTTTTAACCTTATTAAATTGTTATGAATAAGATGTCAATTTAGGAATATCAATTTAGTTCTGGGGAACGCGTGATCTTTTGAAAATATGTATTGTTGAGTTAGATTATTGAGGTAAAAATATATATTTAAACGTTAATTACTTAAAAATATAAATTCGCAATATACTTAGGACTTGGTGAATTCTTACAAAAATATCATAACTCATGACGTATAGTTCTTGTTGTTATTCATCACATATCATAAAGAATATACTGAGTGTTAAGTTTTTATTGCATTATATTAAATGATTTGCTTATACCAAAAAAAAATGAATGATAAAATGGTTGTGAATTGTTATTTTTTAGGTGATTTAGCTTTACATTACATTAACATCACCTGATAATTTAGTGTTGTTTTATTATAGTAAAGACCAATATGTTTTAAATTAATAGTTTTTAATCGTTGACAATATTAAATAAATTTATTTAGAACCTCTATATGAACGTCTTATTTACTTATATTACACCATCTAATCTATGTCCCATTAAATGTCATACATTTATCATTAAATTCTCTGAAGTATTGATTTTTCACAACCCCGCCATCTGCTGGCCAAAATAGGAATATTTTAGTTCATCTTAACTCCAATTGACGAAGGATACTTTTGTTATAAATAAATGAACAATAAATTTGTTTAAAACTTTAAAACAATTATTTGAGTTTTGTTTTCCTGTAAATTTAATAAATCTTCAGTCCCAAGTTTCACGAAACAATTTTGCTTTGAGTAAAAACAGCAATAATTTATCGCCAAGCGCAATATATCAGGATTAAATTTTTCAGGAAAATAATTTAGAATAAACAACGTTACGTGAAAGTTTTAGCCGGGTTTAGCAATTTGTCTTTGGCCATGAAAACAAATTTTAAACTAATTTTGGCATAATATTTAATTAAGTATAAAACTAAAGCGTAAAAGGGCACAGAAATTTAATGTTAATGTTAAATAAACTTTGGGCAGGAAACAGGTTTATTTTGCTAAACGTTTCTTAACCTAAATTATTAAAAAAATAAAGCAATAGAAAGTTAGTTAATCGATATAAGCAAATATTACACCTCGTATTACTATGCCGGCGACCTTGACCTTCCAATCGATTAAAATTTAGTTTAATATTACTTACCCAGCAAACCGATTTGTTTGTCGAGTTAAAATTGTAATTAAATTTGGAAAAGGAAAAAAATAAATAAAAGTTTTTGATGAAATTCAATTTAAATTGGGTGGTGTTGACATGAGTTAATTTTATATTTGTTTAGGACGGTGTAGCAGGAAGGTATAATAGTTTCCTGGTAGAACACGGACAATACCTTAATGCAATGACATTATATTACGCAAATCTAATAGAACACCATTCAAAGGATAAAATTACGTTTGGAATATTTCCGAAGGACATATTATACCCAATCCGACTAATGTTCAACATCACATCCTTTAATTTTAAATGAACTGATACAGCCCTGTTTCTCAAAGTAAATCTCAAACAAAACCCTTTTATTTATAACGTTTTTTTTGCCTTCCAAAAAAGCTCTTTTAACCGCGTCTTCTATTTAAATGGTAATGGAAATTCATTAGATTTTTATCAACGCCGAGGATTTAGCACCTTCACTTTTTTTTCATCCCCGCTTATGCCCAAAAATTCAATCGATTTTCAACCGCAAAGTCTCTATTATGTAACGAAATCCACTAATTTAAAATAATTTATCGCGGATTTTTTATTGAGTTACAAAAATTTATTTACATTGTCGATAATAAATGTTTTTAATTAATATTGACTGTAAATTTTACAAACAAATTATCAGTTTTATTTGTTAAATTCCCAACCGTTTGCATTTAAATATTTGGTTTTTTTCGCGCGCGGAGTTGTGCTAATCATGAGACTAATTGCTATTTTGTGCAGTAGATTCGAAACAGTTCAAAAGCACAAAAAAAAAACGAAAAAGCATTGCTTACGCGGATTTAACTTCATCGTGTGCTCCTGAGTGGTGGTGGATACCTTCTTGAGCCAGTTTTATCAATCTGGATGTAGAATGTCTTTGACATTCAAATCTAGACTTCTTCAAGTCGAATTTAGGTGATGTGTTCGAGAAACATGGCGAGCATTTTCATCAAGATATTTAAGTGATGGAAAAGCGCCTCTGGAATAGTCAAGCTGATGCCGAAAAGTACGTAAGACAGAAATGACCTGCTAGAATAAAACTAATACCTGGCCAATACAATGGTATCAATGAAGCTCTTGTTCCTACAAATAAAATTCTGCTGCCACCGCTTCATTTAAAGCCTGGATTTGGAAAATGAGGTATCTCCATTGGAAATAGATGCATGGCAGGGTTTTCAATCGCTGGTAAAATGTTTTTTTCGGAAATCACAAGGTAGAGACAACACAATATTATTATGAAGCTCTTGTTTCTACCAATAAAATTGTGCTGCCACTGCTTCATATAAAGCTTGGAAATCACAAGGTAGAGAATTACAGAGTGGTGGTGGACACCTTTTTAAGCCAGTTTTATCAACCTGAATGTAGAATGTCTTTGACATTCAAATCTAGACTTCTTCAAGTCGAATTAAGGTGATGTGTTTGAGAAACATGGCGAGCATTTTCATCAAGATATTTAAGTGATGGAAAAGCGCCTCTGAAATAGTCGAGCTGATGCCGAAAAGTGCGTATGACAGAAATGACCCGCTAGAATAAAACTAATACCTGGCCAATACAATGGTATCAATGAAGCTCTTGTTCCTACAAATAAAATTCTGCTGCCACCGCTTCATTTAAAGCTTTGATTTGGAAAATAAGGTGTCTCCATTGGAAATAGATGCATGGCAGGGTTTTCAATCGCTGGTAAATGTTTTTTTCGGAAATCACAAGGTAGAGACAACACAATATTATTATGAAGCTCTTGTTTCTACAAATAAAATTGTGCTGCCACTGCTTCATATAAAGCTTGGAAATCACAAGGTAGAGAATTACAGAGTGGTGGTGGAAACCTTCTTGAGCCAGTTTTAACAACCTGGATGTAGAATGTCTTTGACAATCAAATCTAGACTTCTTCAAGTCGAATTTAGGTGATGTGTTTGAGAAACATGGCGGGCATTTTCATCGATATTTAAGTGATGGAAAAGCGCCTCTGAAATAGTCGAGCTGATGCCGAAAAGTACGTAAGACAGAAATTACCCGCTAGGATAAAACTCATACCTGGCCAATACAATAGGATCAATGAAGCTCTTGTTCCTACAAATAAAATTCTGCTGCCACCGTTTCATTTAAAGCTTGGTGTCTCCATTGGAAATAGATGCATGGCAGGGTTTTCAATCGCTAGTAAATGTTTTTTTCAGAAATCACAAAAAAAACTTTTTGTACTTACATCTAGACTTCTTCAAGCCGAATTTAGGTGATGTGCCCGTGGAATATGGGGAGCGTTTGCATCAAGATATTCATCAAGGCCGGTGAAACATGTTTATGATGGGTTATTATATCTGGTCTCCACTCAGATCCGGAAAATCAACGAACAGGTTAGATTAACTATTGACATTTATGTGTTAAGTTTGTTATATAGTATTATCGATCGGTTACCAAATACTGTTTAAATGCCAACCGTTTGTAAATATTAATAAAATCATATTGGTATTTACTAAACAAACACAATATAATAACATAAAAAGAGATATTTGTTGATGGGTAGAATAGCGTGGAAATAGTAAAACGGTAGTAGTGGTGGGTTGGGAGATTCACGTGGAATTGTTTGTAGAAAAGCACGTGTTGTCTGCAGAATATAGTCCAGAACGCCCACACAAAACAACCGGCTCAGCCTTTGCGTGGGTGTCCTTGTTACGAGGATGGTCTCCTTTCGCAATTACGTTCGAAAAAATTTAGTCGGCAAATTTTGCCGCTCCAGTCCAGTGTTGTTAGTGAAAAAGGCATTGCGATGTTTTGGAAAAAGAAATATGTTCCTAATAATATCTTAAGTGTTTCTTTGGCTTTTAAAAGAGATAAAACTTAGTTTCTTTCGCTTATTTCCTTCTTGTTGGCGTTCTTAGTGTAAAAACGACATTTGTCAAAGTCCATTTCTCTTATTTCATTAGGTAAGGTAACTGCGTTTTTTCCCTCGCATCGAGTGCCATAAATCTAAACATAATTGAAACACATTTTTGATATATTGGTTTTGTGCTGTTTTCATGTTGACATGTTCGAAATTTTATCTACTTCGGCCGGCTAAAAGACTGTTATCGATTTGTTTAATTATGAGCAAAACTGATTGGATTTAAAATTCAATTTGATATGATATTAATTAAAACATTTACCAATAACATAATGAACACGTGCAGTATTTAGCCCCAACTGCAAGGATTATGTAAAATAAAATGTGTCCAAACCTCATTTTGCCGGATTTGAAATGAAAATTTACATAATCAAACATTATCCTTCTTAAAACAAAAAAACACGATAAACGAGCTTATTTGCATTTTTACTTTGGATTAGTGCATTCATACAGAGTGTCCCACAAGTCGCGCGCTGGTAGAATTTAAAAAAATTATCCAGTCTGTGCCCCTAAAATTGCGACACTACAAAATTCAGGTTTAATCCCGGAGCATTCGCCATTTTTGAAAGTATTTAAC